TCATGCCTTTTATCCCAGCACTTGGGAGGCAGATCTCTGTGAGTTCGAGGCCAGCCTAGTCTACATAGCGAATTCTAGGCCAACTGGGGCTACAGGGAGACCCTGTCTCAAAAAAGACCAAAAAAAAAAAAAAAAAAAGTAAAAAATGGACATCTGGGGCTGGAGAGACGGCTCAGTGGTTAAGATCACGTGCTGCTTTTACAGAGGACAAGTTCAACCATGCTTGGTGGCTTACAACTTCCAGTAACTCCAGTTCCAGGGGCTCCAATGCCCTCTCCATGGGCATCTGTACATATGTTGAATGCACTCCCACACATACACATAAATTAAAAAAAAAATCAAAACATCTGTCTTAAAATTTTCCTCTTTGGCCAGGCGTGGTGGTGCATGCCTTTAGTCCCAGCACTCGGGAGGCAGAAGCAGGCGGATGTCTGTGAGTTCAAGGCCAGCCTGGTCTACATAGTGAGTTCCAGGCCTGCTATGGCTACAGAGAGACCCTGTCTCAAAAAGACAGAAAAAAATTTTTTTTCCTCTTTAAGATGGACATGGTGATGCAGGCCTGTAATCCCAGCATTTGGGAGTCTGAGGCAGGAGAACTGAAAGTTTAAGGTCAGTCTGGGATATATATCAAGACCTTGTCTTAAAAAAAAAAAAGAAAAAGAAAACAAAAAAACATTTCTTTTTCAAAGGCATCCCTAACACTTTTTTTTTTGTCTTGTTTTGAGACAAGGTCTCCCTGTAGCCCCAGCTGTCCTGGAACTCACTGGGTAGACCAGGCTGGCCTCGAACTCACAGAGATCTGCCTGCCTCTGCCTCCTTTTTTACACTTTTAAGGTACTTTGATTTTATATTTATGGATATATGAATTGTTGAGAATAATATTTTTGAAAAGATTTTTCTTTATATGTATCTGTATCTGTATAAGCCATGTGTGTGCAGGTGCTCAAAGAGGCCAGAAGAGGATATCAGATCCCCTGGAGCTGGAGTTGTAGGTTATGAGCTGTCTGACATGTGTGCTGGAACCCAAACTCTAGTCCTATGGAAGAGCAGCAAGTGCTCTTAACCACTGAGCCATCCCTCTCCAGCCCTTTGAATGTTTAAAAATGTTATTTTTTCAAAATCAATTTTCTAGCATCCCAGATAAAAATGAAGGCAGCAGCCGGGTATGGTGGTGCATGCCTTTAATTCCAGCACTCAGGAGGCAGAGGCAGGAAGACCTCTGTGAGTTTGAGGTTAGGCTGATCAATAAAGTGAGCTCCAGGCTAGCCAGGGCTACATAGTGAGACTCTGGCTTAAAAAAGAAAATGGAAGCAGGGGTTTCAAATGATGTAGGGTCCCACCAGGAGAAGCAAATCTGGGGTCCATCAATGACATCCTCACTGTGGATTACCCAGTAAAGCCATATTAATACCATTCAGGCTCTAGCCTGGTCTCAGACACATGAAGGGCCCAGCATGGACAGGACTTGGGAAGGCAGATTCATCCTCATTCATTTAAATGAGTTGAACCAGAATAATAAGCTACTAAAATCCACAGGGAGAGAAAAAAAAAAACCCTCAAGAGACAAGATGTTGTTGTTGTTATTATTATTATTATTATTATTATTATTTAAGACAAAGTCTTGATATGTTAGCCCAGGCTGGCCTCGAAATCATGATCTAGCCTCAGGCTTCCAAGCACTAGGACTACAGGTGTGTGTCACCATGCCCAGTGGGGAATAAGATTCTTGAGTTGTCCTGACCAGAGCATTTCTTCCTGGCGGAAAGCTTTATAAAACTGAATTATAACATTTTACAGGGGCTAAGAACCAGAAGAGTCCATTTGCATGAACTCAGTACCCCAGGTCTGACCTGACCCAGACCTCCAGCTTCCTGTGGAGGAAGCCTGCAGATGATCCATAATTAGATTGAATTCTTTAACCTTCACGTTTGGAATTAAGCAATTAGCATCTTCACAAAAATTACAAATTTAATTGGTAAATTATCTTGAATTAAGGAAATCAATTTAATGTGTACTGCAACAGAAGGAAAATAATTTTCATTGATAGTGTTAAAATATTCTGGATTATCATTTAATTCTGAAATTTTCTAATTCAGTCATGGAAGGCAAAGAAAATATACTTGCCGTAGCCTGGTAATAATCAGCAGCATGTACTGCAGGAGATCACCATCTTAATAGTTACCTACATGCCAAAATATAAATCAAATGCTCAACTGGCTTTAGGAGAAAGTTTCAAAAATAACTGAATAACCTCAATATACCCTGTGATCTCCCTGTGGAAAAAATATTAATTAATAACATCTTAATTCTGTGAACGAATAAACTGAGTTATAGGCTACAACGAACAGCACAAAACCATGAACAAAATCTCTTCACAAAATGGCAACTTATTGCAATATATAGTTAAATATGAGTTTTTCTTTTGTTTGTTTGTAGAGACAGCGTCTCTGGAGCCCAGGCCAGCCTCAATCTCCACATGTGGCTGAGGTCAACCTTGACTGCCAGTCCTCTTGCTTCCAGCTCCAAACTGCTGGGATGCAGGCATGCACACACCTCACTGAACTGTGCTTTTGGACTGGAGCTTGGCCTAGGTCAAACTCACAAAGACCTGCCCTATGCTGCATACTTTAGTTCTTACATTTAAGGGCTACGATCCATACTGAGTTCATATTTTTTTATTATTTTTATTTTATGTGTATGCGTGTATTGCCTCCATGTTGGTATGTGCACCCATGTTGTGCAATGCCCGTGGAGGACAGAAGAGGCTGTCGATTGCCTGGACTGGAGTTTCAGACAGCTGTTTGCTGCCATGTGGGTGCTGGGATTTGAACCTGGGTCTTCTGCAAGAACAGTCAGTGTTCTTAACTGCTGAGCCATCTCTCCATCCCCAAGTTCATATTTTTTACATAATGGGTTCAGAGGGTCAAATTCGTTTTCCCCCCAAATATCCAGTTTTTCCAGCTCCTTTTGTTGAAATAACTATCTTTCCTCATTGAATTTCCTTGGCATATTTGTCAAAAAATAATTGTTCAAGGCTGGAGAGATGCTCGGCAGTAAGGGGCACTGGCTGCTCATGCAGAAAACCTGTGTTTGGTTCCCAGGACCCACATGGAAGCTAACACTTGTAACTCCAGTTCCAAGGAATCCGACGCCCTCTTCTGACCTCCATGGGCGTTGCATGCATGTGCTGTACTGCATGCATGCAGGCAAAACACTCATTCATATAAAATAACAATAAGTAAATTTAAGAAATTGTTCATAAATGCAATTAAGCCTTTCAATTCTATTCCACTGATCTATATGCTTGTCCATATTCCAAGACCATACTATGTTTTAGACTATTTTTTTAGACAAGGACTTAATTTGTAGCCCAGGATGGCACCTAACTTGTGGCAATTTTTGTGTTTCAACTTCCTGAGTACTGAGACTAGGCACAGGCTACAATATACAGCTCACAATATCAGCTTTGAAGTAGTGAACCTTCCTACTCTGTCCTCCTTTCTAAGCATGAATTGTTACTCAATTTTGCTCTCAAACTATGAAAGAGAAAAAACCCAACAGCATTATCAACCCCAACTGCTCTCCTTACATAACAAAATCCAGATTCCTGAAAAGATAATATCCAAGATGTGTACAGAATAGCTTCATATAACATTGGTATTTTATTTTTAAAGATCCTGTTTTTTGAGATATATTCTGAAATGGTTATGGATGAAGCAGCACGTAATCTCTACTGGAGGAGTTAGACCTAAGCAAGATTGGCTATGTGTTGATTATTTTTTGTTTGTTTTTTTCTTGAGACATTTCCACTTCAGCCTCTTAGATGGTGGGATTACAGGTGAGTCTGACTTGTGTTAGTAACTGCGGGAGCTTAGGAGTTAAGTATAGAAGGGGACCTGTCATGTTATTCTCTTTAGCTTTAGACATTTGAAAAATCTCACAAAAACATAAAACCAAAACAATAATATAAAGTAGGGGTCTGCAAGATGGCTCAGGGGTAAAAACACTTGTTTCCAAATCTGACAACCTGAGTTTAATCTTCAGTAGAAGGAAAGAACTAACAAGTTGTCCTTTGACCTTCACGTAGGCTCTGTGGCACACACATGCACCCCTCCCCATAAATAAATAAAAATGTAATAAAAAGAAAATTAAATGACTGGGCATGGTGGTACATGCCTTTAATACCAGCACTTGGGAGGCAGAGGCAGGTGGATCTCTGTGAGACTGAGGCCAGTCTGGACTACATAGAGTTCTAGGCCAGCTGGGGCTACATAGAGACCCTGTCCCAAAAAACAAATAAAACAAAAAAATAAAGAAGATTAAAATGTAAACTGTGTTGGAATATGTCTGTATTCCTAGCTACAGCAAGAGGATCATTTGAGCCCAGGAATTCAAGAGTATCCTGGCAACATAGCAAGAGATGCCATTTAAAAAAAGGGGGAGAAGGGTTCAGCATCAAATTATGGCATTTAAATCTTTTTCCTTTAGTATGAGCTAGATGTGGTAGTGTAATCCCAGCAACTTGGGAGGCAGAAACACAAGGAGCCCAATGCCAGAAATGGACTTCCTCTTTTGGGAGTTGTTGACCAGAAAGATCCTGTGGATTCTTCCCAAGACTCACAGATCATTGCAGAAGAGGGGGCAGAAAGACTTAAGAGCCAGAGGTGATAGATAGATAAAGGAAACTGTTGCCTGGACCACACAGGGTAGTTGCACATATGAACCCATAGCACTTAGGACAGCATGCTCAACACCTGTGTAAACCCAAGCCAGACAGGGGCTCAGCATGGATGGGGGCCCAGCACGGATAGGGGAGGTAGACAGGAAGCCCCAGTACTAGCTGAGGATCTACTGGCAATTGATAGGTGCTGGGAAAGGGAAAGGGTATGATGTCTGGTAGTTTGACCAGACACTAAGGGATAGATTCACATCCAAAAGCGCTTGGGAAACACAGATTAGACTCTATAGGCCTTAAAAAAGACAAATAATAATATGGATATGAAGTTGGGAGGACTACTAGTAAGGCCTGGATGCAGAGGGAGGAGGGGTCTAAAATGATACAAATACATTGTGTGAAATTCTCAAATTAAAAATATTAAAAGAAAAATAAAGGTTCAGCATCAAATCATAGTATCTAAATTTTTCCCTAAGGATTAAAAGTATGAGTTGAGTGTGGTGGTACACAGCTGTAAGTCCAGCAACTTGGGAGGTAGAAGCACAAGGATCAGGACTTCAAGGCCAGCCTTGGCTATATAGTGAAATCATGGCTAGCCTAGGATATGTGAGACTCTGTCTCAAAAAACAAAAACAGCCAGGCATGGTGGTGTATGCCTTTAATCCCAGCACTCATCTCTGTGAGTTCGAGGACAGCCTGGTCTACATAGTGAGTTCCAGGTCAGCTGGGGCTACAGGGAGACCCTGTCTCAAAAAAACAAAAACAAAAAAGAATTAACATGGTTTATAATAATCTATTAATAAAGACATAAACTCAATAATATACTCACCAGTAATTGCCCCATTCAATCATGGTTCCTGGCTGAAAAGAAATAAATTTTGGTTAGTTCTATGAATATAGAATAGAGCACACTATTTGCAGTGTTCCTATCCCATCATAGGAGCAGTATTTTACGGCTTCATATGAGAAGACAACATGCATATAATGTAAAAGTAAACCATCCACGTATGGCTATAAAACTATAGTCAGTCCATCCTTTGATACACTAAAGAACCTCTTTACAAGCAGGGCATGGTGGTGCATGCCTTTAATCCCAGCACTCGGGAGGCAGAGGCAAAGGCAGGTGGATCTCTGTGAGTTCAAGGCCAGCCTGGTCTACATAGCAAGTTCCAGGCCAGCTGGGGCTATAGGGAGACCCTACCTCGAAAAAAAAAGAACCTCTTTATGACTTTTCTAGCATAAATATGATTATTAGACTACTGAGATGTCTTTTTTTTTTTTTTGAGATAGGGTCTTACTATGTAGCCCTAGCTGGCCCAGAGCTCACTATATAGCCCAAGTTAACCTTGAGTTCACAGAGATCTGCTTGCCTCTGTCTCCTGAATGCTGGTATTATGAGTGCCCACCATGTCCAGCAGATGTATTCCTTTTCCTGCTGCTTCCAGTGGAGGCTTGGAAGTGGTATATAGAAAGAGGCTGATTAATGGACACAATTAACCTTGTTCTCTGTAGTATTTACAATGACAGTGTATCAATAAAAAATGCTATCTGCATCTTTCTAGTACACAGTCGGGAAACATTTAAAAAGTTTAAAAGAATTTACTATCCCTTTTACTCTTACCATGCTGTATAATTTGCTCATCAGCAACAATGTGTCTTAGTAGTTCTTGTTCAACAAGATTAGACAGATGCTATATATTGTACCTGGTCCTGCTCTTAAAAAATAAGATGGTCTTTCCTCTTAAAAAATAAAATGTGCTGAGGCTGGAGACATGGCTCAGCGGTTAAGAGCATGGACTGCTCTTGCAGAGGACCCAGGTTTGATTCCCAGCACCCACATGGTGGCTGCGAACTGTCCTTAACTCCAGTTGCAGGGGAATCTGAAGCCCTCTTCTGACCTCTGAGGCGTTGCACGACATGGGTGCACTCACTTACATGCAGGAAATACACTCATACACATAAAATAAAAATAAATAAAAAATAAAATGTGCTGAGTGCGGTGGTGCTGCCCTTTAATTCTAGCACTTGGGAAGCAGAGGCAGGTGGATCTCTTTGAGTTCCAGGCCAGCCTGGTCTACATAGTGGTTCCAGGCCAGCCATGGCTACATAGCGAGGCCCTGTCTCAAAAACAAAAGTTATTTGGGGCTAGAGATGTAGCTCAGTTGGTAGAGTGCTTGCCTAGTATGCACAAAGTCCTAGGTTTGATTCACAGCATTGCATATACTAGGCATGGTGGCACACACCTATAATCCCAGTGCTTGGAGGTTGATGCAAGAGGATCAAGAGTTCAAAGCTGGGGCTGGAGAGCTAGCTTGGTGGTTAAGAGTACTGGCTGCTTTTGCAGAGGACCTGGGTTCGTTTTCCAGCACTCACATGGTGACTAACAACCATCTGTAATGCCAGTTCCAGGAGTTCAATGCCCTCTTCTGGTCTCTCTGGGCATTGCACGACAGGGGTGCACTTATATACATGCAAGCAATACAGTCATTCACAAAAGTGCCATTCACAAAAGGGCTGGTGGCGCTCCCATTTAATCCCAGAACCCGGGAGGCAGAGGTAGGTGGATCTCTGAATTTGAGGTCAGCCAGGTCTACATAGTGAGTTCCAGGCCAGCTGGAACATAAATAAATAAATAAATAAATAAATAAATAAATAAAATAAATAAATAAATAAATAGTTCAAAGCCATCCTTGGGTGCATATCAAGTCTGATCCCAGTCTGGGGTACATGGGACTACCTATAAAAAATGTTATCTTGAAAAACATCAAGTCATAAACATTATATATAATACCATAAATACAAAAGAGCTTGGCAGAGGAGAAGGAATGAGAGAAAAAAAGTAATACAAAAAAAGACTGGAGCCAGGCATGGTGGTGCATGACTTTAATCCCAGCACTTGGGAGGCAGAGGCAGGTGGATCTCTGTGAGTTTGAGGCCAGCCTGGTCTGCTCTACATAGTGAGTTCCAGGACAGCTGGGACCACAGGGAGACCGTCTCAAAAACACCAAAAAAAAAAAAAAAAAAAAAAAAAAAAAAAGACTGGATAGGGAGAAAGTAAGTCAGGTCAAGATATAAGATGGATGTGGAAGTACATGTCTATAATCCCAGCACTCAGGAGACTACAGCAGAAAGATGTCAAGTTCAAGGTAAGGACAGCCTGTCTCCAACATACCCCTGCTCCACCAAATACATAAGTAAAATGCTAAACACACATAACAACTGTTCACCTAAGTTTTATCATCTGCATCAGAAAGCACCAAAAGGGAAGTTGGCCTGTATGTAGTACTTACACGGAGTTGGTAAGACCTGAGTTCGTAAATATTGGGTCCTGACCTCGGTACAGGCTCATTCCAGAAGCTGAACTCCAACAGCAGCTGATTCTTTCTGGAGAGAAGCATGTCACTTCTTGCCTTACGGAAACTTACGAATTCCTTTGGGTGAAGAAAATTCACTCTTGAAATCTTCTGATGTTTATGTATAAATATACTTTAGCAACAACTATGTTCCCACTAGACACTGTCATAACTAGAATAATCAATAGGTCCCAGTGGCGCAAGATCATTTGTTTTTATCTGTTGAACTGGCATAATGAACAACACTCTCACTTTCTAAAGTGTTCAGATTGGTTTGTTTTTATTTTTTGAGTCAGGGTCTCATATAACCCAGGCTGGCCTCAAACTCCTTATATAGCTGAGGATGACTTTGAATTCATGATCCTCTTGCCTTTACCTCTCGAGTGTTGGGATTATAGGCATATGATGATGATGCCATGTTGAATTTACAGTGTTGGGGATGGAACCCTGGGTATCATGCATGCTAGGCAAGCACTCTACCAACTGAACTATATATACAGCCATTTATTTACTTGTTTGTTTATTTACTTACTTATTATGCTTGGGTTGGGACTCAGAGCCTTGCACATGCTAGAAAAGTGCTCTACCACTAAGCTATACTCTCAGTCCAGTGTCCAGGCTGAGGTGACACAATACTCTGTCATACTAATTAAATAAAAGACGAGGTTCAACAAGTTTAATGTACATAAAATTTAGTGTTATTATTTTTAGATTTAAATAAACAATGTGACAGTAGGCGAATAGTGGTCACATGAGGACTACAAACAGCAGAGACCTCAAAAGGCATTTTATTCATCTGAGACTTACACTGTGTGGCTTAACAGCTGTGTGGCTGTTAATGGCTGGGAGGTGGCTCAGGGTTAGAGCACTTGCCTAGCAGGTTCGAGGTTTTGGGTTCCATCCCCATATTGGAAATAAAAAGTCTCTACTGACATGTACCTATTAGGGAAGGGAGGGATAAGACAGCAATGTCAGTGTACAATAAAGAATATGTATGTGTTAATCCCAGCATCCAAGCACTCATGAGGCAGAGGCAGGTGGATCTCTATGAGATCGAGGCCAGCTGGGGCTACAGGGAGACCCTGTCTTTGAAAAAAAAAAAAAAAGAATATGTATAAGACTATGTATGTGTGGGCTGAGGATGCAGTTCACTTGGTAGAACGCCTGGCACTCACAAAGCCCTGGGTTTGATTCTGAGCACCACATTAATCAGGTCTGTAATCCTAGCACTCTGGAAGCAGAGGTAGGAGGATCAGGAGTTCAAGGCCATCCCTGAGTACATAGGGACTGTGAGACCAGCCTGGGCTACATGAGACCCTGTCTCGAAAAAAAAAAAAAAAAAAAGAGAAAGAAAAAGAGAAACAAGCAGATCATCTATGTGGCTGACAGCTCCTAATTGTAATCTAGGCTCTGTCCACCATGCAGATCGGTCAGTGTCAAAGTACTGTCCCTTCAGTTTCAAAGTACAACAGATTATTATGTAAGAAAATGTTATTTATTTATTTTTTTCTGAGACAGAGTCTCCCTGTAGCCCAGAACTCACTATGTAGACAGGGTGATCTCAATCGCATAGAGATCCACCTGCCTCTGCCTCCTAAGTGCTGTGATGGAAGGTGTGCTCCAGCATGCTTGACAAGAACTGCTATTTTGATAATATTAAAATGGGTCATTTAAGCTGGGCATGGTGGTGCACGCCTTTAATCCCAGCACTCGGAAGGCAGAGGCAGGTGGATCTCTGTGAGTTCAAGGCCAAGGCCAGCCTGGTCTACATAGTGAGTTCTAGGACAGCTGGGGCTACAGGGAGACCCTGTCTCACAAAGACCAAACAAACAAACAAACAAAAAAACAAAAACCCAAAAAACAACCCCCCTTAAAACCTGGTCATTTCAAAAAAACAAAACTGGTCATGTTTAAATACAACTTTAAGAGTTCAAATTATTAGCCGGGTGTGGTGGTGCATGCCTTTAATTCCAGCGCTTGGGAGGCAGAGGTAGGCAGATCTCTGTAAGTTGAGGCCAACCTGGTCTACATAGTTCCAGGCCAGTTAGGACTACAGGGAGACTCCATCTCAAAGAAGAAAAAAGAGAAATGAAGGAAAGGAAACCGGAGAGATGGTTCAAAAAAAAAAGAGTTCAAATTATTAAATTTCTACTATGAAAATGGAACAGTTTATTAACAAAAGCTGATGACATTATAGCCACTTATTTCTGTACTAACATCCCCTGTATCATTAGACTGCACAAACACATTTTTTTTTCAAAATTGTTACCTGGTTTTCTTTGAGTTTATTCATGACCTCTGTGAGGGCTGGATAGCCTCCTTCGTACCTCCAGAGGTGGACTGAAATGTGTTTAAAAAGACAGTATACATTAGAGTGTGAAGACAAGTCTTACTTTGGCTACATAGGTCCACGTTATATGAACACAGTACAAAATTGTATTGGCTCATGAGTTATATCAAACAGATTTGCACATTAAAAAAAATCTTTTATAGTGAGCTAGTGAAAAAAAGGTCGTAAACCATAAAAGCAGAATGAGGCTTAAAAACCACTGATTATAAAAACAAGCATTAAATTATAGTTTAGTGATTACAAAGCAGCTTCAGGAAAAGCTATTTATTTAAAAGACTTCTGCTTCCTACCAGCTTGGTCCTGCTCGCCATACCACGTGTTCCAAGTCCCCACCAAGGTACAAGGGTACTGTTTGTCTTCATGAATCTTTGGTAATACCTCTTGACTTTAAAGAGAAGAAACAGCAACACTCATTAAACAGCTAGATAAATTTACCAGCAGACAACACATAAGCAGCAACTGAACAGCTACACTTGAGTTCTGGTAACTGACTCCACAGTGCATGTGTAGGGTGATGTCCACAGCTAGCTTTTATTTTAGCCAGACTCTCTGCTCTATACCAGCAGCCAACTATTAGGAGTTTAGGTTTCAACCCAACTGTCAACAAGAGCTGTAAGCAACTCCAGCATAGTGCTAAAAATACTAAGGAAGGACCAAAGCTCCTGAGATTCCAGAAGTTATGGGTCTATTACTTGCTATTTCAAGAGAAAGAAAGAGAAAAAGAACTATTTCGGAATGTGATGTTTACAAAAGCTAACTTCTGCTTATTCTGAAAAAGAGTGGAAGACATGGGAATGACAGAAAAGACAACCTGAATCTGATCCCTGGGACTTACGTGGTGGAAGGAGAGAACTAATTCCTGAAAGTTGTCCTCTGACATGTGTGCCATGCAAACGGGAATACCAGAAAAGACCATGGAAGAAATCAGAAAGGGAAGAAGTACCATTCAAGACAGAGGCATGCAACAGACACCGCTCAGCAGGCAGAGGTACCAGGAGCAGCCCTTAGGGAAGAAAGGATAGCCAGACACGGCAGTGTGAAGCAAGTGGATCTCCAACAGTCCCAAAAGCTATCGCTGTGGCTTAACAATGTGAAGAAATGAAATTAAATGTACATATGAAGCACTGACTAGGTTCCATTCAATCTGCCACCTGCTGTGGGTGTCATAATGAACACATCAACCAACTCATGACCACTGTGAACAGGATTGGTGGCTGAGCCATGACAGGTCATGGAAACCTTTAGCTCCATAGAAACCTTTCTGATATAGACAGGATCTCAGGTTGGGGATAACTTTGAACTTGGGACTGATTTTCTACCTCCCAGATACCAGGATTACAGGCATATGCCATCATGCCTGGTTTTAAATAACTTCTACTAGGACCTTCACAAATTTTGGCTTTAAAAATCAGGATTAAAAAAAAAATAGCAGAGCTGGATATGGTGGTACACACCTATGATTCACCACTCAGAAGGCTGAGACAGGAAGAGTCCCGAAAGTCTGAGGCCAGCCAGGGCTACACAGCAAGACTGTCTCAAAGAACCAAGTAGCACTAACAACAACAACAACAACAAAAAAAACCCAAACCCAAAACTCTCCCTAATTTATATATACAATGTATTATATGAATATATAACTATATATTATAAAATATATATTACAAATATTGTTTCAACAATGGATGCCAAAAGAGGAAATGAAACTTGTTGAAATTATCTGCTGACAACACATTATAGTAAGCTAGTGACCAGTACTACATGCTGTTGGTTGGTGTTTTTGAGACAGGGTTTTACTAGATAGCCCTAGCCAATCTTGGACTCAATATATAAACAAGACAGGCTTCAAACTTTCACTAATCCTTCTGCCTCTTCCTCCCCAATGCTTGGGTTAGTGACAGGGGAGAGCCACCACATTCACATAATTTTATTGTTGGCTGTCCTCAAACTCAAATCCTGCCTCAGATTCTGGAGTTCTAGGATCACAGGCATGCACCACCCAGTGAAGACCATGTATATTTCTTGAGAGGTGGTATTTTTGTGTATTTTAAAAATTAAGATCTGAGATTAAATGTGTCTGATATATAATCCAGGAGTGTTCAGAAATGGGAACTGATGAAAATCAGGGTTCAGAAGATGTGAGCAGGATTGTACACTACAGCTACTGCAGGGGAAGGACATCTAGATAGATGACCAAGATAGGGTCCAGAATAGGACTGGGTGCCTGACAGAAGGGCCTAGGCGTCTTACCAATACAAAACCACGTGTGGATTTATAGTCAATATCCTGTTTTGTGGGTGGTCTCAAACCTGTTCTTTTTTCGGTCTTATTGAGACAGGGTCTCCCTGCAGCCCCAGCTGGCCTCGAACTTGCTTAGACCAGGCTGGCCTTGAACTCACAGAGACCCACCTGCCTCTGCCTCTTGAGTGCTGGAATTAAAGATGTGTGCCACCATACCTGGCTTCCTTAATTATTTTTTAAAAAATATTTTATTTTTATTTTATGTGTATGCCTGTGTTGCCTGCATGTAAGTGCAAGCCCTGCAGAGGACAGAAGAAGGCACCAGAGTCCCTGGAACTGGAGTTACAGACAATTTTTAGCTACCATGTGGGTGCTGGGATTTGAAGCTGGGTCTTCTGCAAGAAGAGCCAGTGCTCTTAACTGCTGAGCCATCTCTCCAGTCCTCTAAACCTGTTCTTTAAAAAAAATTTTTTTATGTGGGTACATCATGTGTGTACAATTGCCCATAGAGGCCAGAAGAGGGCGCCAGATCCACTAGAACTGGAGTTACAGGTGGCTGTTAACCCCCATGAGGGTGCTGGGAACTGAACCTGGGTCCTCTTTAAGAGCATCCAGTGCTCATAACTACTAAGTCATCTCTTTCCCCCTCCCCCAACCTGTTCTTACAAGCCCTGGCCTTACCTGAAAGGAGGTTGTAAGGCAGATAGTACTTGTACCCAGAACTGGATGGGTTGGGCAGAATCTCATTAATAGGGGCCCCTAAAGATCAGGCAGGAGTTAAGTCTTTATATTCTGGAGCAAGGAGTTGCTGAAAGTTTTAAAGGAAAAAAAATGATGAGGGAAAACAGAACTCAAGAAGATCAGTGTAACACACTTGGGGTAATGGATTGTAGGGTGTTGTGGAGACACAGGGACAACTCCAAGCTTTTAGGGGGTGCATCCAGAAAGGCACTTAACTTGGGGATGGGGCTTGGCAGGCCTAGGGGTAGATGGAGAGGAAACTAGTAGGGAGGTGAAGAATGCATAGCACCCAGTGACTGATCTTCAGGAACTCAGGAAAAATCTGTGCTGGCTTCAGTTGTCAACTTGACACACCTGGAAAGAGGGAACCTCAATAGCACTAGACTGGCCTGTGACCACATCTGTGAGGCATTTTCTTGATAGCTGAGTGAAGTGGGAGGGCCCAGCCCACTGTGGGTGGTGCCAACCCTGGGCAGGTGGCCCTGGGTTGTATGGTTATATTAAGAAAGAAGGCTGCTGGGCATGGTGGCACACACTTTTAATTCCAGGCTGAAGCAGGCTGATCTCTGAGTTCAAGGCCAGCCAGGAGTTCTACATAGCGAGTTCTAAGCCAGTCAGGGCCACACAGTGAGACTGTCAGGAAAGAAAGAAAGAACAAAGAGAGCGAGAGCGAGAGTGAGCTGAACTGAGCAGCTGAGCACAGGCCAAGCCAGGAAGCAGTGGTCCTCCAGAGTCTGAGCTTCAGTCCCTGACTCCCTGACTCCTGGTTCATGCCCTGGCTTCCCTCAATGGTGCACTGTGACCAGAAGTATAAGTCAAACAAACCCTTTCCTCCTCAAGTTGCTTTTGTTCAGTATTTTACCACAGCAATGGAGAAGCCAGCTGGACAAGGTTAGTACAACATGGTACAGCTGGGGAAATTAGAAGAGCAGGGTGATTAAGGGTACTGAGTCTAAAGGAAGAACAGGCCATCCAAATACAAACAGGAACACAGCTAGAATTGAGACAGGTGACAAGGACAAACAGGACAAGATGAAACATAAGCACAGAGAAAACATGTGAGAGAAAAACTAATAAACATCTTTCTTTTTGGCCATTTTTATTTTGAATTTTTTGACTTTTTTTTTGTCTTTTTGAGACAGGGTCTCCCTGTAGCCCCAGCTGTCCTGGAACTCACTATGTAGACCAGGCTGGCCTCGAACTCACAAAGATCTGCCTGCCTCTGCCACCCAAGTGCTGGGATTAAAGGTGTGCGCTACCACGCCCCATTCTGACTTTGTTTTTTTTAAAGACAGGGTCTCACTATGTAGCTCTGGCGGGCCTGGAACTCACTATGTAGACAAGGCTGACCTCTATCCCACAGAGAAGTACCTGCCTCTGCCTCCCAAGTGCTGGGATTAAAGGTATGGTCTACCATGCCTGGCTAATTTTTTGAATTCTGAGACAAAGTTTCACTCTACAGCCCAGACTGCTCTTGGGCCTAGAACTCAAACTATGTAGGAACTATGACACTGAACTCCTGGTCCTCTGCATCCACCTTCCAAGTGCTGGAATTCCAGGCCTTGCCCCCATGCCCATGCCAGGCCCAACTGTGGCAGTTTTACTTAGGAGGAATCTGGGAAACAATGGAGGTCATAGCTCTGGTTCATAATGACTCAACACTGTCCAAAGAGGGAATTTCTTTGAGCAAAGGAAGCCAGGAAGCTCTGAACAGACTCAGCAGAAGAGCAGATGGGTCCTGATGAGTAAGCTGGGTGAATGCTAAAAACCAAAGTGCCACTGGAAGTCCCACGAGGAAGTTGCTAGCCTTGAACATGCTGATTTAAGGAGAGCAAAGATCTCAGCCTTTGCCGTCAAGTGTTAACTGAGGTAAAAGACATGTAGTTTGATATACACACCAAATTCTGTTGTATCCTTCTAGGCATTCCGGCTTGACATTGTGAACTGAAACAAAAGAAAATCCAACAATAAACTTATGAACAAACAAACAAAGTCAACATGGACACAGCAGACCCATTACTCACACTGTAATTTGTATAGACTGCTTGTTTCTTTTTTGGCTAGGAGATTAGAGTGAGCATCTTTTCTTGGATCAACTTTTCTGACAAATAAGGATTTTAACCAGCTGTCTTCTCGAGGTCTGTTACTGGAAGATGTCAGTTTCCTAGGAATGATAAAAACTATAATTTGAGTCTAATCAGAAGTGTGCAGATGGTGGGCATGATGGTGCATACCTTTAATACCAGCACTTGGGAGGCAGAGGCAGAGACAGAGACAGGTGGATCTCTGTTGAGTTCAAAGCCAACATGATCTACAGAGAATTTCAGGTCTGCTGGAGCTACAGGGGGAGAACCTGTTTCACCCCCCCCCCCAAAAAAAAACTGCAGACCTTAGTATATTTAGGCACTGTTACATAGAATACTGCTTCCATAAAGCCCTACACCTGGGGTGGGGGTGGGAGGGAAATCAAATATGAACAAGATAGAGTGACAGATGTATGGAACCCATTATTAGGAAAAAAAAAAGAAAGAAAGAAAATCATTTTATACTCTAAAAGTTCTGGTAAGATGGCTCTGGCAGGTAGAGGTGCCTGCCAAAAAGCCTGAGTTCAATTTCTGGGACCCACATGGTAGAAGGAGAAAAATGACTCTACCCCAAACTCTGTGGCATATTTGAACACCCTCCCCAACAATAAATAAATAGTTTAAGGGCCAGTGAGACGGCTCAGTGCTTAGAGGTGCTTGTTACCCAGGCCTGATAACCTGAGTCCAATCTCTGGCTCCTAAAAGGTAACAAGAGAACATAGACCCAAAGGCTGTCCTCTGACCTCCATCCACACACACAATGAAGTCATTTAAAAAAATGAATAGGGGCTGGAGAGAGGGTAAGTGATCCTCTGCTCTTACAGAGGACCCAGGTTTGATTCCTAGCACCCACATGGTGGTAACAACCGTTAACTCCAGTTCCAAGAGTTTCTGACCTCCATTAGTATTACATGACAGGGGAGCACCTATCTACATGCAGGCAATATACCCAAACACATAAAATAATTAAAAAAATGAATATTTCTGAAGCTGGGTGTGGTGTAACAAACCTGTAATCCTAGCACATGGGAAGGGGAAGGCAGGAAGATCAGGAGTTCAAGGCCAGCCTCAGCTACAGATCAAGGACAACCTGGGCTACACGAGACCCTGTATCAAAAAGCTAAATAAATAAATAAATAAATAAATAAATAAATAAATAAATAAAATGAGGCAAGGGCTAGAGAGATGGTCCAACATTTAAGAGCACTTACTGCTGTTCTTCCAGAGGATCTGAATTTGGTTCCTAGCACTCACACTGGGCAGTTTACAATTACTTATAACTCCAGCTCCCTGGGGATCTGACTCTTCTAAATTATGCAGGCATGTGAATATATCCCCCCGCCAAAAAATAAATCTTTAAAAAATGAGGTAATTCTACATACGCTGGTGATGTACTGATGTGCTAGTATCTCTAAGATAAATTAAGCGGAAAAAGCAGGCACAGGATAGACTCATACACAGTCTGGTGAATGTGATTGGGCTTGGGGTAGGAATTTTTTTTTCCTTTTCATTTTATAATCTTCTGGAGTATATGATGAACTTTCCTATATACATATTATTTTGTATGTATATCCATGCTTGTGTGTGGGTGTGTGCACGTGCACACATTCGGGAGTTGGACAGCCTTGGGTGTCATTCCTCAGGCGTTCACTCTTGGGGGCGGCAGTACTGAACCTAGAGCCTCATGCATATTAAGGCAAGTGCTCTACCATTTTTATTTTTTGAGACAGTGTCTCTCTCTGCCCTAGAACTTGCCAAATGGGCTAGGCTGACTGACCAGTAAGCCCTAGGGATCCACCTGTCTCTGCCTCTCCAGTGCTGGATTAGAACTACGAGCCGCTACACCTGGTTTTTAAACAAAACAAAAACATGGGTCATGGGGATCAAAATCAGGTCCTTTGCAAGCATTTTACTGACTGAGCTATTTCCACAATCCTACATATATTATTTGTGTCTATATATTTGTCTAATATATATATATTTGGTCTTTTCAAAACAGGGTCTCCCTGTAGCCCCAGCTGGCCTGGAACCATGTAGACCAGGTTGGCTTTGAATTCACAGAGATCCACCTGCCTCTGCCTCCCAAGTGCTGGGACTACAGGCCCAGTTATAACGAATATTTTTATAATTAACAATTAGCTAAAATATCCAAAAATGTACATTACCTCTACATAGGCAATTTCCTATGAGAACTGAAAACAATATATTTGCTTATTTACCTGCCCACCCATTTTCATGTATGTGTGTAGTGGGCATACGTGTAGGCACGTGTGGTTGTGTACATACACATGTGCGCATGTGCACATGCAGGCCCGAGGTTGATGTCAGGAATCATCTTCTATTGCTCTTCCACCATTCACTGATGCAGGGTCTCTCAAACCCAGAGTGCACTGATGTGGCTAGTCTTGGCAGACAGCTTGCTCTGGAGATCCTGTATCTTCTGAAGTTGGAACTACCAGTGGGCTACCACACACTCCCGGAAATTACCTGGATTCTGGGGATATAAACACTGGTCCTCACACTTGTGCAGCAAGGGCTTTACCACTGAGCCATCTCCCCAACTTCATTATTATTTTTAAGACAGAGTACAGCTCTGTAGGCCAGGCTGACCTAGAAGTCACCATGTGGTCAGGTAGCTGAAACTCAGGGCAATCATTCTGCCTCCTATGTGATATGTGTGAGGGAGGACATGTGTGTGGAGATTAGAGGACAACTTTCAGGAGTTGGTTCCCTCCTTCCACTGTGGATTCCTGGCAAGGAACTCATAAGGACAGGCTTATACAGTAAGCACCTTTACCTGAGGTATCTTGCTGGCACATTTCTGTGCTCCCCCCCCCACCATTTTCTAGCCTTTAAAAAAAATATTTTATTTTTATGTGTATGAGTGTATTGCCTGCATGTACGTGAGTGTGTCTGTGTTGTGCAATGCCACGGAGGTCAGAAGAGGGCTTTGGATTCCCCTGGAACTGGAGTTAAGGATGGTTCACAGCTACCATCCTTGGGAATTGAACCTGGGTCCTCTGCAAGAGCAGTCAGTGCTCTTAACCACTGAGCCATCTCTCCAGCCCCTACTTTTATTTTCTATATATGAGTGTTATGCCTGCATGTGTGTAAGTGCACCCATCTGGTGCAGTGCCTGTGGAAGATAGAAGAGGGAATCAGAACTAGAGTTACAGAAGGTTGTTAGCCACCATGTGGGTGCTGGGATTTGAATTCAGGTCTTCTACAAGAACAGCCAGTGCTCTTATCTGCTGACCATCTCTCCAGCCCCCCATTTCTAGTCTTTTCATCCCTCCTCCTCCCCCACTTTCCACTGCCACCACCTGCTTCAGTTCTTGTCTTTTCAAATTGGTGACTGTCATTCTGCCTAGAGTTATTGTAGCATACTTATTTGTATCAAAGTAAGAGGCAGAGTTGGGTTTGTTAAAGATATTTAAATAGAGATTGTTTTAGCACAGGGTTAAGAGAAAAAGAGAGTGCTCAGACAAACACAACTGGAAGCATGGGTGTGGGCTTCCCTAAGAGTGGCCTATGACTAGATTTACCAGAAGGGCAGACAGGGGGGAATGGATGAGGGTGCTGACAACACAGTGGACAGTGACAGGGATGGCAGAGTATGGAGCCTCTAGTGGGAGAGGAAGGCTGTCTATCTGACGAGTTTGTATTCATGCTCAGATGCCGAGGAGCTCAGAAGGTGGGCGACTGTGACCAGTGATAGTCATGTATATAGAGATTAGAAATGCATGTGAAAATGTCTCAGTGTCAATTGCCTTGGAATGAATTCTTCTGTATGAAAAAAAAAAAAACAAGTATCTTCTTGAAGTCCCTCAAATTAAAGTAAAGAATAAGAACAAATCATTCTGGAAGAACGCAAAGGAAAATAGCTTTAGATATTTAAGTGACAATTGAATTTATTCTCATAATTGTTTTAATAGCTTTTGTATAATCTTCATCGCTATTATGAGATATAAAATGTATTTATCAAATCTGTAATCATTATGCCAAAAAATCTGAATTACTGTAACATTTTGTATATTGTTAAAACTGTAACTTTAATTGTAAAAAAAAAAATTTAAAATAAAAAAAAAATAATAAAAAAAAAAGAGTGGCCTATAGCATCCTCTTGATAGCTTTGATGTTTGATTGCCTCACACATAAAATGATCTTTCCTGCCCTTTCCTATGTGCTAGAGCAGTATGAGTGGGGTTCCAAATGGTTAATGAATGACCCTCAGCCAGGGCTTCAAAACCAGGTGAATGTTGGTGGGTGCTGGGAATCGAATCTGGGTCCTCTGCAAGAGCAGTCAGTTACTTAACCGTTGAGCCATCTCTCCAGCCTCATTCCTTCCTTTTTTAAAAGATAGGGTCTTGCTATATAGCCCAGGCCTCAAACTCATGGTGATTCTCCTGCTTCAGCAGTTGAGATTTCAGGTATGAGCTACCATCTTAGTTACAAAGTCCATTCTCATTCATTCTCTCTCTCTCTCTCTCCCTCTCTCTCCATTTTTTTTTTTTGAGAGTACATTGCACTATGCAGCCCTGACTGGCCTGAAATTAGCCATGTAGACCAGGGTCGCCTTGAACTCACAGAAATCCACCTGCCTCTGCCCTCCGCACCCCCCAACCCCCATCAAGTGCTGGGATTAAAGGTGTGTACCACCATGCCTGGCCAAATTCCCTTTTTTTTCTTGACAGTTTTTTTTTATTGAGACACTTGTATCATGGAATGAGATTTACTAAATTATGCCCATTCATACTAAATTAATCCCATTCTTGTTTAACAATGGTGGCTTGGATATAATAACATTCTAAATTTCAATTTGTTTGGTAGCTTTTTTTCTTTCTTAAAAAAATCAGCTAGCTATTTTGTTGAACAAACATTACAGAGAAATTTTTTTCTTCCCGTAAGATGTTCTTTAATTTAAAAACAACCCATTAGACATGATCTCAGTTCCTAAAGATAGATTTTTGAATGATGTCAACACACAATATACAAAAAGCACAAATGAACAGCAAAATATTTTCTAAAAATAATAACCAAGAAACACATATTTTTTAAAAAATATCTCCAAAGATTAAAAAGCAGGGGGCTGAAGTGATGGCTCTGTGGTTAAGACTACTGGCTGCTCTTGCAGAAGACCTAGGTTCAGTTCCCAGTCTCTACATGGTGGCTAACAACTGTCTGAAACTCCAGTTTCAGGGGATCTGCTGCCATCTTCCGATGGGGTGCACTTACTTACACACATGCAGGCAAAACAGTCATATACAGAAAATAAAAATATTAAAAAATTTAAAAAGCGCATGCTATCATTAAATGAATAATAACGTAAAATATCAACTTAATACAGAAAAGTTTTTTTGCTAAAGTAGATGGGACAAAAACATGATTATAAAAATACGATCTCTAAAAAGGAAGTTGGAGATTTTCATTTGCTTTACTATGTCAAAATCCCTTACAATTATGGCTTAATGGCATCCGACATAGGGACAGAAAAGCAATTTTCCTCTCTATTCTATATGTTTCTTACTTTTGTAACTAAAAAATGCTTTTATTACATTTATGTGTGTTTGTGTGTACATGCATGCTACTGCATATGTGGAGGTCAGAAGGCAAGTTGTGTGGAATTGGCTCTTTCCTTGTGGGTCCTGGGGGTCAAACTCAGGTCGTCAGGCTTGGTGGCAAATGCTTCTACTCATGAGCTATTATTTCATTGGCCTGTTTTGTACTTTAAAAAAAAAGTATTCATTATTATTGTGTGTGAGTGTTGGTGTGCCCATGCCTGGCATGCGTGTGGAGGTCAGAAAACCTCTTTTAGGAGTCGTTTCTCTCCTTTCACCTTGTTGAGGAAGGGTCTCTCTTGTTTCTGCTGTGCTGTGGACTCCAGGCTAGGTGTTCTGGAAGATCCTCCTGTCTCCATCTCCTACCCTGCTATAAGAGTACTAGGATTACAGATGTGTGGCACTGCATCTGGTCTTTTTAGGTGAGTTCTGGGGATTGAACTCAGGTCATCAGGCTTGTATGGCAAGAGCTTTTACCTACTGAGCCATTTGGCTCTTTGCACAAAAACATACATGCTTCTAGAACACATAAAGTACTTAGAACAATGTCTGATCTATGGAAAGGGATTTAAAAAAGTTTCTGCTGGGTTATGTTGTTACTGACTGTAGTCCTAACACTCCAGAGGCTGAGGCAGGAGGATGGAGAGCTTGAGGCCAGCCCAGCCTATATAGGAAGACTATTTCTTCAACATCACAGTGTTTCCATCATCAGTTCATTCTTTGATTATAAAAAAAAATTCAATTCTGAAGAATTTCCAAATGAGTCACAGCAAAAGGTATTTCAATAAAAATTAAAAGGGTTAATTCAAGTGATTTATTTAGTTCATTTTGAGACATGGTCTTTTAATACAGCTCTACCTTCTGAGTGCTGGAATTATAGATGTGTACCACACTGCCTAGCTTGTTTAAGTTTTTAAAACATATACCATTAGCTGGGCATGGTGGCACATGCCTTTGATCCCAGCACTCGGGAGGCAGAGGTAGGCAGATCTCTGTGAGTTCAAGGCCAGCCTGGTCTACATAGTGAATTCCAGGCCAGCTAGGGCTACAGCGAAACCCTGTCTCAAAAAGACCAAAAAAAATTTTTTTTAATTAAAAAAAACTTAAGCTGTGTGTATGTGTCTGTGTGTAGGTATGTGCTGGTGCCTGCAGAAGACAGAGGTAGAGTCAGAGTTATAGGCAGTTGTGAGCCACCTGATATGGGTGCTGGGAACCAAATTCTGATCCTGTGGAAGAGCAGTACCTACTCAACCCCTGAGCCACTTCTCCAGCTCCTTAAAATTTGTTTGTTTGGTCATATACAAGTCTTTTTTTGGTCTTTTTGAGACAGGGTCTCCCTGTAGCCCCAGCTGTCCTGGAACTCACTATGTAGACCAGGCTGGCCTTGAACTCATAGAGATCCGCCTGTCTCTGCCTCCCGAGTGCTGGGATTAAAGGTGTGTACCACCATGCCTGGGATCATATACAAGTCTTATAAAGATGCTGAAAGTAATCTGAAAACCAGTTTCTCCTATAGTTCGAGGCAGAGTTGGAGTATAAAATCTGCCTAGGTAAAACAAAAAGGAGAGGTTAGATTATTTAGACTGAAAGCAAGCTGACAAAGATCTATAACAAGACAGCTCTTTTGCAAGTGAGCATGGGGGGGTAGAGTTCTTGCCTCTTGGTCTAAGGATGTTCACCTCACTGAAAGCAGTAAGGACAGAGACACATTCTAGGAAGAGTTCTCTGCAAGTACAAGGCACACTGCTCTCCAACCACCACCA